CTCCCATTTTTATGATATCCGTAAATGTTATATTATAAAATTATTGTTATTATTATTACGTTATTTTTTATTATCCGTGAATGTTAGCAACTGGACAAATTGAATGCAGCGGTCAAGGAAAAGCGACCAGAATTGGTCAATCGTAAAGGTGTCATTTTTCACCAGGACAATGCTAGGCCGCACACGTCTTTGTCCACTCGGCAAAAATTGATGGATATTGGTTAGGAATTGATGTTACACCCACCATATAGCCCTGATCTCGCGCCATCGGATTACCACTTATTTCGATTCCTGGACAACTCCCTTCGTGGTAAAACTTTTAATGATGATGACGCTGTGAAATCTCACTTAACTCAGTTTTTGTCCGAAAAGGATCAGACTTTCTACGAGCGTGGAATTTTCAAGTTGTCAGAGAGATGGCAGAAGGTCATCGAACAAAATGGAAAATACATTACAGATTAAACTTCGTTCCAAGTAAAAAAAAATTTTTTATTTCATTGAACAAATCGGCAATTACTTAGTTGCCAACCCAATATAATCAGAAGTTGAATATACAATAATTAGAAAAAGATACGACATTAGAATTATGTTTGCTCATGACTTTGAAATAGAAACTGGATAAAGAACATCAACATAACGTTATTTTAATATATTTCTTCGTGAATAAAGAATATTTTATAACAAAGTACATATATTATTACTAGACTGCGTATCTTATTGTAATAGAGCGGCGACTATGTCGGAACGAACCTACATTATCCATCAGGTATGTATTCGTTCGTCGATCGTCCGTGAAAAATGTTTTCCAACAAGTTTCATGTAAAGCTGCTCGCATTGCTCGTCGCTGTTCCGTCTAGCGGTACCTTTGATCATTATTCTGGATGAATTCACATTATCTGGTGGGCAACTAACCATCGAAAAGTTTCGTACGACAGTGTTTACTTTGTCTGTTAACGTCGGGCAAGTCGTGGTCACGCTTTCAGATAAAAACACCGTGTAACACCAATTTTTCGTTTCGATAACCAGTAGACGGTTAGGCTGGGTTAGGTCACGTGAAATATCGGATCTCTTGCCAGTCGCAAATTGGTCGTTCGAGTGATGAGTTCTTCGCTTAAAAGTCATATTTTGCTTATCTGTCGGGAACGCGTTGGTAAAAGTGCAATATTCTATAAATAAAACGTTCGTCTGAATTAAGAAAGAAATTGTTCCTTGTCTTTGAATGATCCGGTAAATGCGAATTCAGAAGTTATTAATCACTATTATCTATATAGTTTTTGAGAAATTAAATTTCTCCTATCCGAATTGTAGAAGCTATTTCCATGATTCTCATACAACGATTCTGTAGATTTTACCAAATTCGACGGTATATTTTCAACTAAAATTACAAATATATGTTTAAAATAATAAAATTGTAAATGTTTAGAATAATAAAACTATAAATATGTTTAAAATAATAAAACTGTAAATATGTTTAGGATAATAAAACTGTAAATATATTTGAAACAATAAAACTGTAAATATGTTTAAAATAATAAAATTGTAAATATGTTTAAATAATACTTAATAGGCAGAGATTAGTTTGAAAACAGATCTTTATTCTTCCCAAGTTCTCATTAAAAATTAAAACGCAGTTATTAATATAATTATAAGTTAAGATATTTCTAATTTAAATTATTCAAAGACAATGCTTATGTTCAAAAATTTCTTGCAAGTGTAACTCCCCCCCATCACACTTTCTTACGTCCGCAAATACAAGTGTGATTTTTTTGTCATTCCGCTTACTACAGATTTTGCAGCAAGATAATTCATTTCGCTACTAAATCTGTTTCTTATTATTCGAAGAATTGAAAGAAAACAGACAGGAAGCTTACCAAATCAGGATGCCAAACGTGATGTAAAATTACGCTGTTTCTGGAACAAACGAGAATGTACTTATTAAACATAATAATATAGCATAACATATAATTGAAATCTTTAACTAAATTTTCCTTATCTTTACACATCATCAGAACAACGATGATCTTTGTATTTTCTTAATTTATACTGTGCAGCACTAATTGAATAAAATCTTAATTTATACTAATGCAGCACTAGTTCCCACTTCGACGATCAGTAGGCCATTTTTATCAATTTCGATGCGTTAAACATAAACTTAAAGGTCGTTTTTTATTTATATGTAGACAATATAACTTTTAAGATTAGAGCAGAACAAATGTTTAAAATTGGAAAGACTTCTTATTCAAAATAAAATTTCTTAAAAATTGAAGATTGTGAAAAAAGGAATACAAGAAAATATTAAAATTTGTTGAACAGTTCCGTGAAGAAAGTACAAAGGGACTACGTATCGAGTAATAAAGTAACATTTTCACTGCATCTGATTATAATCAAGATGTTGGTTCTCTTATAGAGTTATTTTTCGTGTTATTTGTTATCACTGACTTATGCAATCTATCTTCTTCTATTGTTTCGAAACAATTAACAAAGTACCGATATTCAATCATCGGGATGCTAAGAAGGATGTTAACAACATCGGAAGAAGCGTTATCATATTCTCTTTTTAATCCGTCACTGTGATCATAATCTTTGAATGTGAACGGAGACAATAACAACTTAAATTTGATGCTGTGATCGATTTTTCCATGGTTATTTATTGTAGAATTCTATCCTGTAAAATCTGTTGATTTCATTGGATCGACTACTTTATTAGTAGATTGTGGATATTATGCATTTATGACAAAAATCAGTTAATGAAATGCAAAATAGCAAAAATGTAAGTCCAGCATCTTGCATACAAATTCGCAGTCTATTTATTAGACGTAACAATTTATTTATTATCTGCATTGATAAATTTTAAAAAGTAGTAAGAAATAATTGAAAAAGTTGTAATACACATCATCACATTTATGAACTTTGAAAAGATTGAAACCCTTTAAAACGTTTTTTAATTAATGAAACACGCGATAACAAATATCAAAATGGTCAAAACGAAAGTTAGGAAGGGTCCAAAGCAACAAGCTAAAATGTAATTTAAAAAAATTGTTTAACAAACAGTTGAAAACCAGTTACCTACATATATTCGATAATTATTGCAGAAAACGTGACGAAAAAAACATTCATGTATTTTAATGCTGTCGTTTCAAATGATAAATATCCATTGATTCGATCGCTGGTAGAGTCTATCCCGACATCGGTTCGTATAATTTCTCAACTCACGTGCTTGAGCACATGTTACATGAATTTTACAAATGTAAGGGGTGCCTCAAAATAAAACGACCACACGTTGGACGTTACATAATATATAATTCGTTCTTTGTTTCTAATTCAAGTCTGATTTAAATTATTTATACTTTCTTATCATCATTATTAACAGTAGTTTTTAAGTTTTATTTAAAAAATTTTACTAATTTTATTTGAGTTCAAGTGTTTGTGTACTAGTGTATAATAGTTAGATCATTTTCAAAACGACTTAAAGTTTGAACCACAAAATCACTTGTTTGAAC